GAAGTCAGGGCCCAAGTCCGACCGGACGCTAATAACCGCACCCCCTTTCTATGCAAAGGAACAGCGGAAGCTAAACTTTCTGACTAATTTTGGATCCTGAGCACAATTCTTCAGGAGAGAAGATGGCGTTGCTGGCAGATAAATGACTTCAGCTGCTTTTTAACAGTTTCGACTTGAGTTCTTTCAGACAGCGTGGCAGTACAGTTCAGAGAGCACACACTAAGATCTATAAACGGTTTCAGTCCAAAGCCAAAAAATTAAATCAAAGCCTCTGTTATTTGGATCCGAAAAATATTTCCTTTAATTTTATGCATCGTACTGTGAGGAAAGAAGGGAAGGGAGCTCCAAGTCTAACGTTTCTGCTCAGTTCTTGCTCAGTTTTTACGTCAAGCACCACAAATGTGAGAAGGGGTTCCAGAAAAGACCATCAGTCTGTGGATTCTAGGGCTGACTTGCTCAGAGCTAGGTCCCAGTAATGCTCTGCGCTTTTTTAAAATGCTCCCGTGCCATTTTTTCAGTGGGACACTGCTTGAATTTCATCTCACCAAAGCTCCGCAGTCAGATCAGAAACACCCTTTATTTAAACAGATGGTGTGAATTCTGTTTCTTTAGAAAAGGGGAGGACCTGAACATCCTCAAGCTCACAAACTCATGGAAAGAAGTTTTTGTGACAATAAAGGAATAGTTCACAAAGTCCTATAGAAGTTTCCCTTCAGGTGTCGCAACTTCTTTTTGCTCTTTACATTTCAGAAACGGATCTATGTAATGTAAAGGATGGCTACCTCTTTTTCTGTCATTTTATTATTTTAAAACTTCTATAATTTGACTTTCCCTCACTCTAAGGTTAGGTTATATTATGCAGCATGGATTTCTATTTCTTACAAAATATCTTCCTAGAAGAAAACACTTCTTTTGGGGGGGGGGTGTCTTTGCAGCCTCGCTAGAAAGACACCATTAGCTCAAAGTGGGAGGGACACGTACGCAGGATACCTTGAGGGTATTCAGGGAAGGGTCTACAGTTAAACCGGTTCAAACTGCTATTCAAACTATTCAAATTGCTATTCAAACTGCTGTTCAAACTGCTTTCTCCCTGTAAACTATAAAAACTCAGCTTGCATTTCCGGTGGTGTGGCAAAACCCTGGCATAG